TGGAACTTCCAGCTGCTCTGTGTAAAGGCTCCTTCCAGGACGAGCCCTGTGCCTTCCTCTGGGTCTGTAGCAGACGGTGACCCTTGCAGCTAATTCTAGGGGAACCAAGAACTTCACCTCCATGGCAAGTAACAATGGAGAAGACGTAACTGAATAGCAGAGTGATCTACTAAGTGATCTACTTTCTCTCTCTGCCAATGAACAATAACGAAATTGCACCCTTGCCCAAAAGAGATCACCGTGAGCCACTTGTAAACCTGTTGAAGCAAACCTGTTCTTTTCTGCAGCTTATAGCTTAAATTGAGAGCTGGTTATGTGATAAAGTCTAACTTCATCATGCCTGGCGAGTTTTTAAAGCCCAGGAACACAATATTAAGTAATAATTACATAGGAGACAATTACTTTGTGAAACACAATACCAAAGAAGTTCCTTTAAAAAAGAAGAAAGTAATATGTAATAGTTCTTTCTCTGTTATGTACGTGCCCATTCCCACAAAAAAAAAAAAAAGGTGCAGAATGAAGAATCGCAGCTCTTTTTTTGCCAGGATTGTTTAAAATGTTACCACTGCCAGACTATGAAAGGATGCTGCTCTGCTCTTTGCTTCACTAGAGCTTTCTGCATCCAAATACTCCCTGAGTGAAGCTGGCAGCAATCACACCGACCGTTCAGCAGCAGCACAGGGGCTACTCAGACCCCTAAGCCGCTCTCAATGCTGAGGACGTAATTCCAAAGGAGACAGAAGCCCCCTCTGTAAATACAAATAGGCAAAACTGATAAAACACTACTTTTTTCCCCCCCCTTCCCAGAAGCAGCAGTGCTTTCTGAGTCAGAATGTGCTGGAAACAATGAACTCACAGCTAATGAGCCCCACAAACTTTCTCTCTAGCTGGTGGTTTGAGTTTGGGGTTTTTTTTAGCATAGACATGGAGCTGCTAGAAGAATGACAAGATCCCATTGCTGGACCTTTCTGTGAAATTGCTTTTAAACACACAGCTTCAGGAAAAAAAGGCACGAAACAAGTGTGATCGCTTGACGGTCTACAGAGGGGTCAGGCCGTAAGCTGAAGGCTGATTTTGAGTCTGTCATTTTTAGAGCAACGTTCGGTTTGCCACATGCTTGTCCCAAAGACTTGAAGTCTGGAAAAGTGAGTAGGTCAGTGTTCATTGTTTCTGGGTACAGACTGGCACATCAGTGTCTGTGTTGTGGGGGCAGAGGTATATTTTTAAAATTACCACATAGTTAGATGACATCAAATGCTACAATTAGTAGACCTGCAATTAAGTGGTCAGACAAGATAACAGGAAACCTACTCACTTTTATAATTCAGAGGAGATAGTAAGCGATAATATCCAGTATTGCTCAGGGAGTCCACATGCTCCACCTGTCAGAAAGGGAAATGAGCTCTAAAGGACGAGAAATGAGAAACATTGTCAAATCCCGACAGCTTTGTGGGCTCCTGTATGACACAGGGCTGTCCCCAAGTTACCGATAAGGCTGTGACGCAGCCACCTGGCAGACGAAAATAAAAACGCGAAGAACAAGCTGTAGCACCGTAGCTGTCACCTGACGGAGCCTTCAGGGTCCTCCTGCCTTTTGTTTCTCTTGTTCTTTCCAAAATCTGCCTGCCCCTCCCCCCCCTTCCAGTGCCTTCCAGCCTTGCCTCAGTGAAGACCAGAGCATCTAAAAATACTGTCTTTCAAACCTCATTGAGAATGACCTCAAAAGTCATTCTCAAAATCTGGTCCGCTATTTTTCAGGTGCGTATTTCACATAAAGCATTGCTTGGGCCATTTCAGGCTCCGAATATCTCCAAAATGAGGAATGATGCTTAATTGGAGAGCAATTCTCACATGCCAGGTTCTTTCCCTGTTACTATTATCACCAATAATCCATTGAAATCAAGGCACTTCCTGCAAATCAAGGGTGTTTTGGTGGGTTTTTTTTCTTAACGTGGCCTCGATGTGCTCTTTCGCTGCACAACGGGTGCTGCTGAGGAGGGTCAGGAGTGGGGCGCTGGGCTGGGCTGGAGCCCACCGCTCACGGTGGGGACAGCCAACACACAACAGTCCACCAGGGCTGGGGAACAGACAGCAGGGACTGCTGCCACCCCACCAATATCCACGGGGCTGCTTGGAGCAGGTACCTGGCCCGTTCACTGGAGTTAAACATGGACAACTAGTATTTCCCCAGATGCCAGCTTCTCTGGGTCAGACCGCACTGGAAAGCTGAAATGCTCAGACTGATCCTTTTTTGCATCTTCAGCGCATACCCTGCGTCCCGGCCGCAATCCCGCCACCACAGTCAGCAGAGCCCCTCGGCTGCTTCTCACCCAAAACACACTTCTGTTTGGGTGCGGAGCCATTAGGACCAGCAGGTCCACCACACGGACCTGCCCAGGGCCATCGGGGCAGAGAGCGGGAACCCCGAGTTACGCACATCCCCATAAGGCTGATCTCAAGAGAACACAAAGGCTCTTCGTTTCACCCAACAGTTGACGCTTCTGACAGAAAAAACTTATTCTCTGTATAAAGGCAGTGACCATATCAAACAGAATTGAGATCAAAGTGATCTCTGCTGTGCCTGGAATTTGCCTCTCTACCTCCCTTCGCTGCTGTAGTACAATGCATTATTTAAGACCGCGTTTAATTCTTTCAGAAGAGATCTACCAAGTTTAGTTCAGGTCTAATGTTCTGCTGCTGAAAGGGGGTTGGGTGGTGGGACCCATCCTGAACACGTCCCCTCTCTGCCGCTGTTTGTCCCCGTGGACTCGGCCATCTCTACAGCTCCGCTGTCACACATATCCCTTTAGCCAGAAAAAGGAAGAGATTTTTTATTTTTTTTAACCCCAGAACAAGTAAGGAAAAACGTCCTGGCCACACAGTGATTTCTGTTTAAACCAAGAAAACACGAAACAACATCTAAATTATGTTCCAGAAATGTGAGTGAAGCAGATTCACAAAGCTGTAGTCCACTCCTTTCGGTTCCTATTCCGTGGGGGTGGGAAGGGAACAGGCGGCACGAGAGGAAGGAGGAAACAGTCCTCTCTCCTCTCGGCAGTTTTAAGCCCTGTTACATCCGCTTCTCGTCAAACTGCGTATCGCTTTTCATTCACAGAAACAAAATACCCCATTAAGGATAAGATACATTGAACGAGTTCCCTCCACTATATGAAAACTCTAGAACAACCTGCAGAGAGGCCATGTAAGCAATAAGCAAATAATAAGAGGGTAAATAACAGCAAATAGGGTGAATATTAACAGGTAACAGGCCTCAACGCAGAAGTGAACTCTCTATATTATACCAGATCAGCTTCTTACAACCCAATGAAACGTGAACAATGCATAGGCATTTTAAGATAAATATAGTATCTTACTAAAAATGTCACATCCTCTCAAAACGTCACCGCCAAGTCCTAATGGATGAAAACAATATACTCCAGTTATCAGCGTCCTGGTCAAGAACTGACTGCCTTCCCCCTGAAACCAGGCTTAGAATAAAGTTTTGTTAATTAATTCAATTAAGAAATTATTTCAACAGGATTGAACTGCTTCGTTGCCCCCTAAATGGGCTCATTTAGTATGTGTAGTTGAGGGTTGACTGACCTCTAGGAGGAACAATTATTAATTAATAATTAATTACAGGAGCCTTATCTTTCAAGTATAATAATGATTATTTTTTTGTGAGGTACAGGTGGCTCCCAGGAACACACGGTGGCAGCAAGCAAAGCCATAGATCTGAAATTTAATGAGGCCAATGCATGGATCACCACAGTCGAAACATTTATGCTTTTCAAGAAGCCACATCTGCCTTCCGACGTGCCATCTGGGGGAAAATAATACAGCTATTTTCTGTATTATATGAGTTGAGAACGTCATTGTCCCCATTTAGAAGTTTGAAAAATCCCTGCAATCTGCTGCTCAAACAGCGCCTACCGCTGTGCGGAGCAGGAGCATCGCTGAGCACTGCGCAGGCAGATTTGTCCCCCACAGGAAAGGCTGAATAGAGCAGCTCCGTGTGAGCGAGCGCATAATACACTTGCAGAAAAGGTTTGATCCGATATGCTAGCTACTTTGTTGATTTTAAGCTAATTTGAAGAAAACGGCGACCAGTTACGAGGCGAGGCAGTAGAGCAGTCGGGCTGGAGCCTCTTCGCGGAGGTGACCAACTCCCAGTACAGCATTTGACAATTTTATGAAGTTTCCCCAGGGTTTCTCCCCCTTTCACATGCAAATACAGTAGCTGGATGTCCAGAAGTGTAGCACAGCACTTTGGCACTGTCCAGTTTAGGTGAAAATACATTTTCTTTAGCTATTTTCCCATTATGAAACTTTCTATTTTGAATCATAAACTATATTCTAAAGGTACTTTAATTGAGTGAGAAAACAAATGCCATTTTTCTTGTTTTGTAGAGTTAGGAAACATCATAGAGCTAGAACAAACCTGTGGGAGTTATCGATCCTATTACTCTCCGAAACGGCTGTCTACACTGGAAAACTAGAACCAGAGACCTCGGGAAATCACAGAATTCATCCTCAGCTCTTTTCTATCCATCAAGAGCAGACTTTTTTCTTTCAACTCTAAGAAGATTACAGATGCCGAGTTACTTTGGGCTATCTGAGCGATGATTTGGATTTCAAATGAGAGCTGTCACGGTTGAAAGCTTAAGGCTCTGCTCACTTGGCAATGCCTCACGCTACTCTCAGAATTATGTTGTCAGAACTGTTTACAATCCAGAGCAAACTACTGACTCGGAGAGCAGCAAATCCACCGAGCTCTCTGGAAAGTCGATTTCACACGCATTGAAATAAATGTCATTACTTTAGATTTACTCCATGCTAAACAAGAAAATTCATTTGGCCCAAGGGAAAAAAAAAGATTAGGAAGCAAGATATGCCATCCCCAGCAGCACCGCCAGGAACGCGCAGGGAGAATAAAGCTGCTGAGCTGCCCGAGGCTCTGCTATTCCATGCGAATAACTCGTGTTTTCCCTTTATTCTAGGTGCTGTCGTTTATCATCTTCATCTGCTATATTGCATCGCTAGCTGCCCCTTTCATGATGGCCCCGCTCCTCGAGTTCCTGCTGGCACTGTTTCTTTTTTTTGCCTACGCCTCCAAACTTAATGAGAAGTTTAAAGGGCTCTACTGGCCTTTGACGGTAAGTGAAATGCGCAATATAAACCCACAGATTTCATTGTACGGTATAACAGGAGTAAAAGGGGCTGTACGGGAGTTTAGGCTGTTAACAACTTCACCTCCTCACTAGAAACTCGTCCATCTTCCCTCTCATTCAAAAGGTCCCAAAGCACTCCTTAAACTGTGCTGTACTACACACTATCGCTGTCTTGGTGCCGACACAAAGCCTGGTTTTATTAAAGCACAGAATTTCTGCCCGATTCCTGGCAAATGCCTTAGGGCTGGATCTTCAGGAGTGGGCAGCATCAGCTCTGACCACTGCTGGGGTCGCCTTAATATCGCCGCCCTTACAAGTGGGGAAACTGAGGCACACTCTACAGTGATGCATACACTGAAATGTTTTGGAATTCTCAGGTAAGTGCTGTTGAGATGCAGAGTCGTACTCACACACCGACAAGCTGGCAGCTGCTTTTGTTAAGGGGGAGCCCTGCGGCTTCTGCCGGCAGATGCTCCTGCGCAGCACGGAGACCCCTGGCTGGTCCCTGGGGGGTGCTCAGGGCCGTGGCCGCAGGTGATCCCTGCACAGTGGCCACTGGATGTCTCTCTCGCTTCAGGCGTACATGGCAAAGGGAGCATTTCTCTCACAGTTTTAATACTTAAAAAAAAAAAGCCAATCCACTGGATTTGGATTCTCTTGGTACAGTCTAGTGATAGTTCATCTTGAATTAGAGCTCTCAATGTATAAAAATGACATTAGCAAGGCCACTGCTGGATAAAACTATAGCAGTGACTCTATGGCAGCGTGTGGTTTTCAGATGGTAATCTCTGTTCCATCCTTTTCCCATTTTCTACACACATCTGATTCTAGAACTAAGACCAAAAAAAGTACTTGTATGTTTATTATGTCCACCACCATAATACACTCCAGCCACAGAACGTAGATCATTGGCCTCGTCCTGACTTCAGGAGAGTCAATTTTCTTGTAGGGTTTGTGTTTTGAGACAGTATCTCATTTATCCATCTGTTCTGAAAAGGCAGAAGATCTAATTGTGAGCAGAGGTGAAGATACGCTTATTGCAGCTCACACGATTTACACATGCCCGGGGGATCACGGCTTTTCATTTAACACACAGGTCAGGGACACTCTCGCTCCAGCCCATCGCTGCTGGGACTGTAGGGCACTGCCCCTGTGCTGCAGCGCTGCCGTCCCAGCCGCGGAAGCACATATTGCTACGACAGCAAGGGGTACGTTCGCGGGAGGGCAGCTGTTGGGAGTTACAGGTGTACATACTAAGTATAAATCACAGTTTTAAACACTAAACAAAGTGTTTAGTTCCTAAATGAGGAGTTCCTACAGACAGGCCTACTCTCATACAGAAACAAGCACACACCGGTTCCCCACGGGAACTGGTACGCTCCTCCCGAGCCTTTGGTACCACAGGAGTTCTGCTTAGAGATGGGACTTCCTAAGGCAGTTCCAACGACCCTTCTGTTAGAGCCCTTGCTGCGCTCCGGGCTAAATGCCACAGAAAGATGGCCCTCCTCAGCCTGGAGACAGGCCTGCCCCACACCAGCATGTGAAAAGTCGGATTTATACCCACATCTGTAAGAGCAGAAGCTAATGCCAAGACTCTGGTCATCTCTGATTTAAAAATATTTCCCAGATGAACATCCGCTACCAAATACCAGGCCATAGTCACACTCCAGCATCAGGCAAGTCCACCAATGCAACAACAGAGGTTTTTAACCATCATTTAGAGAATTTTTTATGTTGGAATTACATGGCTAATCTGAGAACGCGATGTTGCTTATATTACAGGATTTCTTGCGGTGCGTCACTGCTGCCATTATTTACTTTGCCATTTCAATTGCTGCTGTCTCGAGATATAACGACGGCGCATCAAAAGCAGGAGGAGTAAGTAGACGTGAGCTTTCCACTTCGGCATTTTGGTGAACTGCCCACAGACATACTTTAGAAACAATTCAATTTTGACCCCATTGCAAGTAGTAGAACTTTCTTCAGTTAACTAACTGAGAATTAGATTTGCCCAAAGCAAGGAAGAAATGGTCGGTTATTTAGAAAAACAGGTTTTGAATCAATGAATAGTTTTTTTCATCCTAACAGCACTGCTCAGTGTTAACTGTACTACCTGGGGACGGCATCTATTCTGCTTTTCAATTTCACCAGCGGTACAGGGAAGAACCTTCTCTGTTCCTGCAAAGAACGTCAAGATCCTTGAATGGAAGGAATAATAATAATAAAGTAATCAAACCTGTAACTACTAAGGACAGTCTAAATTAAGTAATTTCAACCTCCTGCCTCTACTGCTTAATTTTACTTGGATGAGTTGCAACAAGAGCAGTGTCATTTTACCCTCCAGTATAGGGACTGCCCAGGAGAGAGCCTTCGTCATCAGGATTTTGTGTTCAGAAATAAAATACAGCCTCTCCATCTGCAACTTGACTCTAAGCATCAATAATGTATGCAACATAAATAAAATTTGCATAATAATTTTAAAAAGATTGGGAAGAACAAGCCCCAGTAGCGTTAGCCAGCGACCCTTACCAAACCATCCCAAGTCACGCACAATTTCCATATGAAGATCTTGTTTTAAACTTCCTCGCTTGGTTTAGACATGGAGCAATGCAACGTAGCATTTGCCCAAGCTTCTCAGCCTGAAAACCAGCCTGGTCTTGCCACGCTGCGGCTGCTTTGACACTAAATAGGTAACTCCAGAATCATTTTATTTCGATCTAGTTCACCCTGCAATAGATGTGACTCCATGCAAACCAGTACAAAAATTACTTCCAGAGAAATCGAGGTGATTTCTTGGCGGCAAAGAGATGCCCTGAGCTGATGGAGGTGCAGGATAGGTTCTCCTGTAGCTCACCGCAGAGGGCAATGCTGATGTTCCAAACGAGCCCAGAGCCAGAGGGGGATGTAGCCTGGGGAAGGGCTGAGGGCACATCGGACAGAGCAACTGCCAAAGGGTCACGAGACATTTTCCTCCCCTGTCTTTTTAGACAAAAAAATCAAGGCCAAGTTTTCGTTAAGAATTTGGTGTCACTTAGGCTTATTTTGGTTTGTCATTGACGGATGTGAACTGTTGTCAAAGAGAGCATTATTTTGCCATTGTAGGTGTTTGGATTTGTAGCCACGATAGTGTACGCCATTGATTTCTACATCACCTTCAATGACCTGGTTACTTTTCTCAAGCAAGGCAGTTCTGATGCTCCTGAAGAGCGCAAGTCAGAAGGTAGGTAAAAGTCCCTGTTTTGGTTAAACGAGCGTGTAATGTGAGATTTTCTTCTCCATTTCACCCTTCACAGGGGAGCAATACACTCACTCAGTAAACAGCTTCTATTCTTGGCTACCTTGGTTTTGTATGACACAACTGTGCTGAATTATGAAACTGCTTAGTCTTAAAATACAACAAGTGATTTCTAAAGATAAGTAGCAAGCCAGGAATGTGAAGTTTCTGAGTTTTGCACCATCTAACTCTGAAAGGCCCCGAATCCAATTACAGAAATTATTGTGCAGCACAGACTCCCATCATAAACATCCAATTTTCTTTTTGATAACTTTTCTTCCCATCATAAACATCCAATTTTCTTTTTGATAACTTAATAATTAATATCCATTAGTCCACAGTCTTTTATGTCCAATAGTGCTTTTCTCTTTATCATCTCTTTATCATGATTACCTCTTATTCAGGGTCAAGCTTTGACCATCTGTGGGCAAATGGCCTTGAAATCCAAGGGCCACGCAGCATAAAATTAACGATTGTTATCAAATCTCTTTCTAATACAGGAGGTACAGTGTACCTCAAATCAGACAGATCCACGCAGACAAAGATAAGGAGACGGACCCGCTGTTGGGGGTTCAAACCCATTTCAAGTCAAGTCAGGACACAGGTAGCTCTTTCGCAGTACCCCAAATCAGGCATCGTGCCCCGTGATACTACTCGTGGCACCCACACAGTTGAGAAAGACTGCTCCACACCTAGAAATAAACAAACAGAAAATCCCCAACCCCCAAAATACACCCCACACAAACCCCAAACCCACAAAAACTCTCAAAAACAAACACCCAGGACAAGTGTAGAGAATCCTAGAAGGTATATAGTAATGCTAACGGTCTTTTCTAGGTAATTTGGTAGACTGGTAAATGTTTTGTAAGGTTTAGGCCACAAAGAGAGACAAGGAAAAGAAGAATTAAAGGAACAGATAATAGGGAACAGACTGTGAGCCTAAAAACTGTCCCCACAAACTGAACTGACCTCAGAAGATCAAGTGACACGGGTACAAAATCAGGCTAAAGATTAGATCCCGTTTCCCTGGAGATATAGAGAGAAAGATATAAACTTACAAATATGCAGCCACGCAGCTTTGTGTTGATGATCTGACCGTGCCAGAAGGGCTCTGCCCTGCGGTCCTGTTCCTCCAGTACCAAACCCGCAGTCGTGCTGTAGCTCTCAACTGCCGGGGCCAGAAATCGCTTGCTTCCCTGCAAGCTGCGTCTCGAGCTTGGGCAAGACATACCTCTATAGGCCTATCGGCATTTCTTAATGTGTTAAAGCTTCTGCCTTTCCGATACGTTGAACTGGCAGCGCATAACGGTGTCCCACAGCAAGCGGCAGTGTTCTCATTCAGGAAGCCTGTCTGCAGTAGACTTCCCCTCGGTGGTCACGCTAACCATCATACCTGCAACTTCTTTCCTCTGAACTGTTATCTACCTTGTAGTGGTCTAAGTGCCTCCCAGCAGTGTTTCTCAAGTCCTTTGAAACACCATTTAGAGCTCCATCACGTTAGCAAGAACTGTCATTTTACAAGCCTTTTGCTAACTACGCCGCATCCTTTGAAGCAGACCCCCACCGAAGAGCAGCGGCTCTCTCCCAGCAAGAGCTAAAGCTGACGTGGAGATAGCCAGTTTTCATTTTCACTATTCTTCCTTGTTTTAAATTCCAGATGAGGACTCCGATTCTGACTCGGACTGAAGAGCCAAACACCAACCAAGCGTGAAGGGAAGACGATCAAGCACTTTCCTCTTTGCTGCATGCACTGCCAATTGAAGTATCTCCCTTATTTCAGCCTCGGTAGCTTCTTCCCACCTCACCGTTTATGGCATCACCAAAGCACAGACAGGGCAGGGATGTGGAAAAGGAGACTGTTCCCAATGCCATTAGACACTCCTTCAGAACTACAGATTTTACAGTAGTTCAACCTGCCAGAGAGGTGTGTATCCAACCAGCACATCTCCAATCTCCGTCGCGCCTCCTTACTCAGCACTACAATGTACTGAGTAAACGGGAACATAGTATTTTAAATGTATAAGCGGAGCTTTTAATATGCTTTCTTAATTCCAAATCTCTAACACTTATAGCTTTTATACTTCTTGCTGTGCCAAAGAAGAGAGGCTCAGAGTAGGCCTCTACTTTATTTGTATTTTTCTTGATTAACTAACAGTATTTCTTTATCTGAAGTCTGAATATTCCACTATCTCAAGCACTGAAGGCATAGATTATTGTTAAGATGTTGGTTTCAACACGTTTGTATCTACTGCCTATCTGCAACAAGAAGAAGTGACAACTGGAAATCTGCAGCAAGAACAAACCTCAAAGTATAATTGTGCCGCAGAGTCGTTGGCTCATCAGACATTCCGCACCGCTTTGTTGAGCTGCTCGGATGGGGTCACATCCCATCTTCTGCGATTCCACCATAGCTCTGAGGTAGAACAGAAGAGGCATCGTCTGACCAGCCCCCTTCCTACCATTTGCGCGAAGCCCTCGTACACGGTTGCACACACGGGTAAGGCACAGCAAACACCATCCAACAGCACCTGCCCAGCGGAGCCTGCGAATAGCTGTGCGCAAGAGATCACGGTGCGTTCTCTTGCTCTGTGTTGCGAACACTGGTCCTCCCGTGAGAAGTAGCACTGGACTTAGTCCGCTGGGTTCACAAAACCAACGACTGTTTCCGTACAACTGAGGATCCCTGGGCCCCAGCGGGGCAACGCACCCTTCCCACTGTGAAAAGGCAAAAACACAACCACCACACTAAAGAACATCTGCAATGAAATTCATTTTCCCAAACACCTTATTTGCAGGGGTTTGGTTTGGGTTTTTTTTTTTCCTCCCTGGAAGGACAAAATTTATCTCGTGGTCTGGTATTCTGGGGGGAAACCCTTCTGACTTTACAAGAAGGTGTTTTCATGGGTAGCGCAACCTACCTTGAAATATTGATGTCCACCTATAAATGCACACTGCTTGGAAAAGGCACGGCGTGCTCCTTATAGAGGGCATCCCATAGGTCTATTTCAAAGAAACCTGTATACATTAAAAAAATAATAATAATATAGTACCAGAACAGGTGGCCTTAACAAAAAGTAATTAAAATGAGACCAGATGGTACTAACAGAGTAAATTAAAAACAGGGATGAAACAATAAAGGCAGATTTCCTTTGGAACAAAATTGGTGCTTGGGTTCCAGTTCCCTGCTGGCAGCGGGCTGCCAACGGGCAGAGATGCGGTACCCAGCAGCGAGCAGGTGCTTGGGAAGGTGCTGGCCGGATTTGGAGCCGTCTAACAGGCAGCTCCTCCATCTCCTCGCTCCAGACCACTGAAGGAATAAAAGCAAAACAAACGGTTGCTTCCAAATGTGACAAATACTCTTTGCTTTTATGAGAAAGAGCTCTTTGGACCTTTTTCCAGTATGAAATTCCACGTTTCTTTCTTTTTTGTTGTCATATTTTACTGGCATGCACTGTGACGTCAGGGGACCTGGGCTCATTTTTATATTCAATTGTTTTGTATTTCTCTTTTTTTTTAATGAAAAAAAAAAATGTACTGCATGTCACAGCTGGAAACTAGTACATGGTTAATATTTAGAAACCATGCTGGATTAAACCTCTTTTAATAGAAGCGTTGGGTGTCTTTACTGGTTGCAAGACCAGGTTTTCTGCCCTGCCTCTGAGCAGCGAGAGCAACGGCGTTTCAGGGACCCTGTCGGCAAAGGACACCGTGTGCCGGGGAGGTGACAACAGCACCGAGCCAGCACCGGAGACCCATAACCACTCACACTTACATGTCCTGCGAGGAGAAACTGCACCTTCAGGGCATGAGCATGAAAAAATTTAACCAGGAATTAGTTTTAGCATCTTTAGCAGACGTCGGAGATGGAGTGCTTTTACTTGGCAAGTAATAGCGCTGCAAACAGCAATCCAATGCCCGTGGGGTCTCCCCTTCACAGACACGTTATAAACTAAAATCTGCTAAGCTTTTCTGATGATTTTTTTTACATTGGAATACTTCTAAAATCAACAGAAGAGGCAAACAAAATTGCTCCTTAGTTGCTTCAGGACTACTTTTGCAGTCATGAATGAATTGCCTGTCCAGAGAATTTCCTTATTAGAATTCAAGTATTTGATGATTCCATTTATTTCTAAGCAGTTTGCTCCCAGGGTCAGGCACTTGTGTAAGATTCCTGCCCTTTATTTAAAAAGACCTGTTCCCATGATTGAAATAAATCACACTGCTGTATTTTATGAATATCATTGCAGAAAAGAGAATCCAATTAAAAATAATTACTTTAAATCCAATTCTGATTTGGGGGGGGGAGGCTGACTCAGTCCTTCGTTCATCTCCTGCCAGCAATATTGCACTAAGCTCGGAGTCTGGTGTAGGGCGAAGGAAAAGTCTGCTTGCTTTTTTGGCTTTTATGTTTGTTTGCTTGTTTGTCCTCAGCTGACAAGATCACAGCAGCGGGAGCGCTGGCTTCTCTGCAGTTCAGGATTCACGACACAAGCATAATGTTACACCTGCAGCATGGAAACCTTACTGAAGTTCTTACTTCGGTGTACCAGCAGGGCCATAATCAAACATCTCTTTTCGATCACAATAGCATTCTTGTTCCAAACAGAAGCCACTTCCAAAGCCCATGCGGGCTAATCAATGCCTTCATGATAACCAGAGCACAACTATTCCCATTGATGCTGGGAGGGCTGGAGCCCCTCTGCTGGGACGTCAGGCTGGGAAAGTTGTGGGGGTTCAGCCTGGAGAAGAGAAGGCTCCAGGGAGACCTCAGAGCCCCTTCCAGTGCCTAAAGGAGACCTACAGGAGAGCTGGGGAGGGACTTTTTACAAGGGCATGGAGGGATGGGATGAGTGGGAATGGCTTCAAACTGGAAGAGGGGAGATTTAGATGAGATATGAGGAAGAAATTCTTTCCTGTGCGGGCGGTGAGCCCCTGGGGCAGGTTGCCCCGAGAAGCTGTGGCTGCCCCATCCCTGGAGGGGTTCAAGGCCAGGTTGGACGGGGCTTGGAGCACCCTGGGCTGGCGGGAGGTGGCCCTGCCCAGGGCAGGGGGTGGCACTGGATGTTCTTCAAGGTCCCTTCAACCCAAACCATTCTGTGATTCTATGATTTTGAATCCCTGCTTGTGTTGAACAGCACTCAGCAGTGGACAAACCTCGGGAGTGATGAGAGTTTCCAATGCCAACTGTGGAACAAATCAATGTAGAAGTCTTAACGCTATAAAAACGGTGACTCAAAGCCACCAACAGGAAGGAAAAATGATCAGCTGGCATCACGGATGACTGACTTCAGACAGCTCTTACAGTTTGAAGGTCTCTCTCCCTCCTTCTCCCACCTTCTGTCAACAGGCTTTTTATATTTAGCTGTGGAAGATTTGTTCAGTCTTTTGTGGTGGTTTTGGACAGGTGATGATAAGGAATTCGAAAGACCTTTGCAAGCAGCCTTTTTAGATTCTGCCTGAAAGAAGAGGCTGAGCTGTTCTTATAACACTCTGTCTATTACTCTACTTAATTTTGCTTTTCACCTGATCTTGTTCAAAGTTCTCCGAGTCCTAAATTTCCAACTGACAAAGTAATCTCCCAGATGTTCAGTGAAAAGCGGGGTATCTCAGCTTGTGTGGGATTTGAGAAGAATGCTTCCTCCAGCCTGATGTGCTGGAAAGCAGAAGATGATTTAACATGCGGCACAGCAAGCAGATGTTTTTCATTCATTATACTTCTGGTAAGTGTTCATTGTGCAAATTTCTAAGCCTGAATTTTATAGCTGCATCCTCCCCTGCCAGGAGACCAGCGGCCTGTATCATTAAGTGAGCGGGTACTTGTAACCAGACACTAACAGTGCACGTTTCTGACACCTGCGCTTCTCAAATGCATAAATAAAGGAGAAAACGTACATATTGCTACTAGGCTGAGCTAAACCTCATAGGGGGCAGCTTGTAACCAACCTCATCAGAGATTAGTAAGTGGCTTCATTCCAAAGAGCAGGATACAAACTGCCCCCGCAGAGCAAACGTAAGATATGTATCGCCATACATATGTAAAAATACAAGAAACAGTTCCACCTAGCCATCCTTTCATCTGTTTTTGAGCATAGAGAGAAACGGAGAGAGAGAGAATACATCAGGGAAGCAGAATAAATTTAGGTAAGCACTGTGAATGTGACTCTTGTTACAAGATGCTGGAGACACCTTTTTGCATGGAGTATTGGTTTCAAAGTCAGGATGGAGACACCATCTCCTGTTTTTCTTCTAAACAAACATTACTGCGTCAAAAAATCCACACTGCAACACAGATTCCCCCTTTACTGGAAGAATGCACTGTACTCTGAATGTTTTGTAAAACTTCTAGATCAGAAGGTAAAACAATGCTACCCAGAAAATTTAAGTGTGTTTTTTTCAAACGTAAGTCCTTTTTTTGATCTATTTCCTTGAAAAAGAGCAATCCCAATGTTAATTTTGGCCAGGTAATGCTTGTGCTTTTATTTTATTTATTGCGGGTGTTGTCCATCACATTTTATTAGCCTGATCCATTAAATAAGAAATCAATTACAGATTTTCCACGAGACTGAAGGAAGATTCAGTATTTAACAGTCAGATAGAATAAACTTTTTTTTTAATTCAACAGCCAACACGCTAGAATGCTTGTGCAGATAGAATAAACTTTTTTTTAATTCAACAGCCAACACGCT